GTGCAGGTTTAAAAGTAGTCACAAATGATCTAGTTAATCCCTTGGGTTTATGACATGACAAGAATGGGAATGAATGGTGTGATACCTGTTGAAACTCCTCCAAGGTTTTCACCCACTTGTTCCAAAAAGGGCATTGCTAGTGCTGAGACATATAATGAATCAAGACTTGAAATGCACCAGTCATTTTTTTTCTAGAAACATGTCTACTGATGTTTTAAATTTATTTATAAACTGACCTTAGAAATTAAAACACACAGAGCTTACTTAAGACTATCTGCCAAGTCTATTCTGCAATAAGATACATAAATCATATATAAAAATTTTCATTGTTATGGTATGTTAAGAAAAATGTACCTTTTAAAATTAATTATATGCATGAATAACTTCTGAGCACAGATTTGACAGTAAATGCTATTAATTAACAATTTCCACTATTATACATACAAGTAAAGTTGCTTTCAGACACTAGTGACAAGATATGTTAACTGCATTAATGTTAATAATAAAATTATATTAATTAATGTTGGGAATATGTTGAGAAGTACTATGGATATAATGTAGTTTAAAACAGGATGCATACAGGATTTGGCGTCTGATGGAACCTGAATTAGGATTGACTGGAATGACATGTTAGAGATTTTGGACTTGATTTTGAATGCAAGAGGAAGCCATTAAAACATTTTAGTTTTTAAAATTGCCAGTGATTTTTGAAAATTTTCTTGTAGTGATTAGATTTTAAATCATAAAAAACATTGGCTTGGCAATTACAATGGCAAAAGGACTAATGGATGAGTTTGGATGAATGGATGATTAATGGTAATTTCATAATCAAAAAATAATATTTAAGAAGCAGTGAAATACCATGTGTGTGTTACACATACATACTACATATATTTTATATTACATATATTATATGCTACACACACACACACACACACACACACACATGCTTGAAAATAGTTCTTTAAAAGTAGCTCTTGGTGAATGTGAGATGTCTAAACATTGTAGAAAAATCTTATAATTTTACTGATATATAAGCAATAGTTTTTGAAATCCCATCTTGCAATTTATTTCTTCATTACTCAATGAACATTTGTGGAACACCTACTATGTGCCAGACAGATAATAGGTGTACAAACAAGTAAATGTAAAATATCAAGTTTTGATAAGTGCCATGATGGAAAATAGTCAGATGTTTGGGAAGTGAGCAAGAAGATGGGTGAAGATTTTTTCTTTAGATGGGTTGTTAGGGAAGACTACTTTGGGAAACTGACATTTGAGCTGTGATATAAATAATTGGAAGCCAGATATAACAGTATGAAGAGTATTCACAAAAGAGAAAATTCCATATGAAAAGATCATAAAGAAGTTAAAAGCACAGCGTATTTTAGGAATTCAAAGAAAGTTAGTATAGCTAAGACTATTCAGAAAAATGATTATTACATGAAATAGGAATAGTAATGTGGAAGACAAATTATGCCTTCTAAGCCATGGAACTTAGATCTAACTAGATCTAAGTTAATCATTAGATCAACTTAGGTCATTAACTTAGATCATTCTAAATTCAGTGATCAAAAAGGTGTAACTTGGGCTTCCCTGGTGGCACAGTGGTTGAGAGTCCGCCTGCCGATGCAGCGGACACGGATTCGTGCCCCGGTCCGGAAAAATCCCACATGCCGCGGAGCAGTTGGGCCCGTGAGCCATGGCCGCTGAGCCTGCGCGTCCGGAGCCTGTGCTCTGCAACGGGAGAGGCCACAGCAGTGAGAGGCCCGCGTACCGCAAAAAAAAAAAAAAAAAAGGTGTAACTTTTCTGTGTTTTAGTTTATTCATTTGAAAAGTAGTGATAATAACTGTGCATCATAAGGTTTTCGTGAAGATTAAATTAGTTGAACTAAGTAAACTTAAAACAGTATCCAGCATAAAGGAAGTGCTCTATAATTGTTAACAATTATTTATATTTTTCTTGTTATTATTTACAATAATAACATATTGAAAGCCCTAAAAACATGTGTGAGTATTCATCATTATTCAGGAGAGAAATCAGATAGACTAGGGGACAGATCGTAAGTATTTAGGATTTTTAAAACTTAAGTTCTCTATCACAACTGCCCTACTCTACCATTGTAGCGTGAAAGTGGTAGGAGACAATATATTTTTAAAAATGAGTGTGTTTGTGTCCAATAAAACTTTATTTATAAAAGTAAGTAGTGGGGTAGATTTGGTCTGTGGGCTATAGATGTTGCTCCCTGAATTAGAGGATTATCCAACTTAAATATCTGTAGGCATCATCACAACTCCCCAAAAGGACTGAAGATCTGAAAATCAGTCAACTTGATACTAGAAGTCAGTACTGGTGAAAATAATTGGAAACTATTGGTTAAGTTTATAATTTTCAAAAATATATTGCAGTTGATAGCAAGAGATAAGCATGAATTATTGCCCTTCCAAGCATAATTTGTAGTGTCGAACCATTTTTGACGAGCCAACCCCTAGCTAACCTGGTAACTCTCTAGAGACATGAAAAGTCTTAGCCAAGATGAGGTGGGCCTGGCTCAGCTTAGCACAACTGGTCAGTCCTGCTATAATTGATGACCTACAGAATCCTGAGGTAAATAAATGTTGTTTTAAGCCATATTACACAGCAAAAATTAATTGACATAATAGGCTTATTATCATTGCATTAAACAGTTAATGTATCTTTCTTAAATGATGGCAAAACTTATATAAAACAGAATGAATACCAATAACAGTATTTAGTAAGTGCACACTACACATAGGGACCATGCTTGAGTTCTGAGATGCACCAGGAATCAAGAGAATCTTGCCACCCACCCTCAGAATTTTCATTTGTTATGTTCAAATAACAGGTTGTTGGAATGATCCAGTCTATAGTTAAAGGTTAATGTTCTGGAGTGATAAACATCAACAATGATATAAACTTCAAAAAATTTATTTAAAGTGGCTGTAACCAAGGTGAGCTACAGTGTTTATGACATTTTAGATTTTATAGGAAATAGAAATTATTGGCCTCTCCTTTTACTGGTTGCTTCCAAAATGAAGAATAATGTTGCAAACTACTCTTTCCTTCAGTTTTGCTTTTGTGGGGCAGCTTGTTGTGACATGTATTCAATGAGCCTCTTTTTTTTTTTCCTGTGAGTCTGTTGTAAGTGGGAGACATAGGTACATGGGACTTGAGCATTTCCAAAAGAGCCTTGGCAGACTCCAGTGCTTTGAAATTTAATTCTGCTCTCTATGCTGTAATAGTTTCCATTTTGAGTCTTATCTTCAATATTACGACTATTTGCTGTTGGCTTAGTTAAACCTACTTGAAAATTCGTTGACTTATAAACAATAACACAGCTGTGTGCATAATAAGGGCCCCAAATGCATTTTACCTTTATACTCCTTTAAACTCAAAACTGAGTGAACCAAATGTCATCACCTTTGTCCACTATGTAATAATTAATAACTATCTTATTAAAATGTGTGGAATAAAATATGTTGAAAATTATCTGTTTCTCATTTCCCACTATACAGAGATTCTCCACCATATTTTTAACCAGAACTGAGATTTGCTGCACACTTCCTAAACTTAAAAATCCTGCTTTTTCTGAAATGAAGAAAATAAGAAAGAGAAATCAGCTTGTTCACAATCATAAGAGTATGTTCTGGTATTGTTTCTGTGAAAATTATTAAATTTAATATTAAACATAAAGAAACAAAAATTCCTAAGTACATTTAATGTTTGCTATTTCATAGCACCTATATTTTAACAAAATAGAAACTTAAGAGTTTTTAAATTTGAGAGTAAAAACCAACATATGACTATATGCTTAAAATGGTATTAAAATGCTGAAGGTAAAATTTATCTCTATTTATGTGCACTACATAAGTAGTAAAAAGATAAATTGTATGATATCAAGTAGCACTTTTATTTGTATTCATTTAGAATACTATTAGAAGTCTTCTAGTGTATTAGGTTAACATTATTTTTTAAGTTATTCCCCATATGGAGTAGTGCAGTAATATAACATTGTGTCATCCTAATATTTTCTAAAATCCCCCCAAATACTCTAAATGTCAGACGACCAAGACTCTTGCTCAGACTATCAGTCACAGATACATACCAGAAAGAAACAGACTGAAATCAAATCACATTACCTGTTCTGTCTGTGTGTCAATCATCTTGAAAAAATATTCAGGAAAATACTCTCAGCATGAGAACTGATGAAGTATTCATGAGTTTAAGCGTTTCAGTTATACATCTTTCCCCAAATTTTTGTATTAAAAAAATTTATTATCCGCATTTTTCCTTACTTTATCGTAGATAAAATGGTATAGGCTCATAATAGGCAAATCCAGTCTGTTACATTTTTTTTACCTGTGATAAAAAAAACATATGATTAATGAAATCTCATGTGTAAAATCTAAATGTTTACATCACATATTTTGTTTCATATTCTCAACTTTTTGATTTAAAATGTTTTGGTTTTACATTTACATCTTGTTTTTAAAATAGAGATTATGAGCCTGAGATTCTTGACTCCTGATGGCGTAAAATAACCTTGAGGTAGTTTTCTAAACCACAAACCAGAGAAAGACAGTCCAAGTAGTCCAAGTAGAGAATGATCTCTCTAGAGTAAACAGAGATCAATACTTGAGGCTGCCAACACAGGTGGAATTTGGGGTAGTACTAGAGAGAAGGATGCACAGTGAAGGAACCATAAAACCTGCATAAAAATTTCCTTCTGATTCTTGGCCAACTCCTGAGCTGCAAATTCACAGGGTGAGACTCTGGGAGACCATCCTCACAGCTACTAGGAGGCTGAGAGCTGAACAGAGATTTCAGGGGTTGCACAATGCAGGGAAGAACTTGGAAGCTGGGTAAGGCCAGATTGAAGCGACTTAGCTGAATATTTACTAAGCATTCAATTGAGGTAAAAAGGCCATATCCTAACCCCTAGAATCATGCCCAGTGGGCAAGTGGTGTGTCCAACAGGATGGGTACTGGCAAACCTGGAACAGACCCGCCAACAAAGCTTAAAACCAAGCTTGCACAGGTCCAAGGTCATCATCCAGGAAGTTAGCTGCTTCCTAGAACAGAATCAACACTTTCCTGTGTATAATTTACTAAAAATATATGTTCTACTGACTATGTATAAAATAAATAATCTCAAAACTTGCAATATGTGACTGGGATTTTATTTCCTGTTCTAGTTAAACAAATTTGGGCTATGAACTTTTTGTTCTTTTTGAAAATATCTCTTCAGTCATTCCAGCTGACCCTGCTTAAGTCAGCCTTCACCCTTCTCATTCCCCCCATAAACTGTTGATAGTGCACAACAACGTCCCCTTCGTTTTTACGTACATCATGCATTTTTGATGAGTTATAATATGGCTCTATCTGCATTTTAACATTTCTATAATTAGATGTGACTTAATAATCAATGGTGGATCACTATTTACTTGGGAGTTTTTTCTTTCTGGTTGGTACATACAATGATAGTTGCATAAGGCTATCAGTGTAGACTTAGAGTCAATGAATTATGGTAAATATGTAGGAATGCAATTACTTAACAGATATTAAAAATATAACACAAAGATAAAGGAATTGCTTTAGAAGTTCATAAGAGTTACCACCCTAAGGCAATGATATGTGAAGAACAATATAGCGGCATCTCAAAGACCTACATTAGACTCACTAATGGCTCTGTCATTGACTAGCTGGTAGACCTTGGATAATTTACTTCATATTTCTCAGTCTTGTTCTCCTCATCAGCAAAATTGTACCAATAATACTAGTGGACACCACATAGGGTTGTGAGAATTAAAAAAGATAGGAATATGCTTAAAACAGTTCCTGGAATAAACTGTGCTTGATTAAACAGAAACCATGTTTATTACTATGAAGATGATGAAGATGTTGAGTTACCAATTTCTTGCATATATTAGCAAAAAAAGTATATTTTTAATCTTTCATTCCTAATAAAAAGATGAAGGATGTAAGGAAGGCAAAAAAGGCAGGGAAGGAAGGCATAAGAGAGAAAGAAGGAAGAAGAGATTAAGGATGCTACTATTTAATGCAATTGGCAGATAGAAATGCATCCTCTTGTCATTTATGAAGTATAGTTGACACTGATTTCTGAGATAGTAGAGTTTCTGATCTGTGAATAAGTGCAAAATCATTATTGTTTTTCTTCCCACTAGACTGTAAGCTCCATGAGGGCAGAGATATGTCTTTTTTCTTTTTACTCAACAGAGAGGTAATAATAAAAAGTAAAATATATGATGAATAAATGTTATGCATTGTTGAATTCCAATTTCTTGAAGGAGAAAAAAACTTCCTCATAAAATTACTGTATTATACAACTTAATAACAGAAATGAAGAAATATCTCTAACATAATATTCAACCAGCCACCCTATCAGGTAGAAATAATTACTTCCATTTTTGGTCCCTTTTGTGTAGCACCTGTTACATTTGATTGAATTTATATGTCTCTCCTTGAGGGCAGGGGCAGGCTTACTCATCTTTGGGGTGCCAGCAATCTGCACAGAGCACAGAACAGAGAATGTGTCAGTGAATGCCTGATGGATGAATGAGCCAGCGAATGGTTGATCCTGAAGGAGATCTTAAATCTGACCCTATCCTGATACTGACACTCAATCTAACTAAACCCTGACTGAAATCTGGACCTATTACCAACCTCCTCTTAAAGCTGATTCCACTACTGAGGCAGAATGAACAGGGACTGATGGAGAAAGGGAAGGAGGGCAAAGCCAACAGGAATGAGCAGTGGGGAGACACTTAAAGAGCGAGGGCTTCCCTGGTGGCGCAGTGGTTGAGAGTCCGCCTGCCGATGCAGGGCACACGGGTTCTTGCCCCGGTACGGGAAGATCCCACATGCCGCGGAGCGGCTGGGCCCGTGAGCAATGGCCGCTGAGCCTGCGCATCCGGAGCCTGTGCTCCATGACGGGAGAGGCCACAACAGTGAGAGGACCGTGTACCGCAAAAAAAAAGAAAAGAAAGAGCGAATCACTCCAAGGTGGGAAGTGGGGAGAAAGAGGGAGGGAGAGGGAGGGAGAGGG